GTTTTCGGCATCTTTACCTATCCTGTATTCGTCGTAAGTCGTAAAATATTCTTTTGTAGCCACCTTCTTGCTCCTGCGCACCCAACCACGTGTTGCATGCACTGCAGCGAGATAAAAAACTTCGTCGTCGATCGTCGCGTCTTCTTTTCTATATCCCGGACGAGCCCCCAAAATTGTGGGATATAGGGTTCTTCAAATAAGGTTTACACCGTCTTCTTAGTAAAATAATATTTTACTTGCTTAGCACCATTGACCGTCGTACATGTTAATCCTCCATCCCACTTTTTCACATGCCTTCCCCTCCTTCCGGCAGAGGGAGAGATCCCTCTCACTCACACATCACACTCTCTCTCTCTTACAGCTGCGTTCCTATTCCCACATATATACATATACAAAGTGATAAATAACCAGTAAAACAAAAACAAATATTACACGGTGATATTGAAACTATAATTTAATTTTATTTAAAGTTATACACTTACCTAGGATATATACAAAAGGAGTAAAAACGCGAGATAAGAGTAATTTAAGGGACGTGGGATGAGGAATATGAGGAGGAATGAATTCATAAATAGGAAACTTAGTTCTAGGACAATTAAAAAAAAAAAATGGTTCGCGTTTCCCTCATCAAGCCCACACTTACAAATAGAGCTATCCCTAATTCTGAGTTTTGCTAAAAATACTGGAGAATTTAGAATTATGCTAGTAGAAGGAATCTAGACAGCAGCACCAACTGGGCCATTTGATGAGATTTTGGAAGCGTCTGTAAAAATTAGGCGCCAATTATTATAATTGGAGGTAATTTTATTAGTGAATAGAGTTTTCGCTTCTATTGAGCACTTGTTGATTCCCAAGTCCAGAATGACATTTGGTTGGAATACTAACGCTTCGTATGGCGTACAAAAAAGAGGTAACGTGGAGTTTTGGAATAAAGGATTGATGAGACGGGTGAATTGCTGGTAAGCAAGAAGAAGGCAGGGGGTATTTTTATTAGAACGTGGATCAAGATTATTCAATAAGTTAGTTAGCTGATCTAGTTTGGGAAGGAGCGGATGGTCAGCATTTTGGATAAGTTTATAAAAGAATCTGTTGGCAAGAAATTGTCTACGAAGAAACAGAGGAGGATCACCACATTCAACCTGCATAGCGTTAATAGGGGAGGATTTCATCGCTCCGAGAATAATGCGGAGACATTTAGAGTGAATTTTGTCGAGTTTTTGGAGACCAGATTTATTTATGGGCTCTAAAAGAAATAAGCCGTAATCCAGGTGACTGCGGACTATAGCGTTGTATAGAAGTTTTTGGGAAAAAGGGTGGGAACCCCACCAAACTCCAGAAAGGGAGCGAAGAACATTAATGTTTTTTTCACACTTCTTTACAACATAATCAGTATGAGACACACCTGTCAGTCTGGAATCCAACCACACCCCAAGGAATTTAACTTTATCATTCTGCGGAATGACTTCACCAAGGACTGAGATGCCAACTTGGGGAATCATTTGCTTTTTGGTAAAAATTACGACCGAACTCTTTGAGGCCGATAAAGAAAGACCATGGCGATATATATAACCACGACGATAATAAACTGAGCGCACTTGACAAGTTATCAATAATTGCCTCAATAGATTTATTAGGAAAATACAAAACTACACCGGGTTTGAGAATCGGGATGACAATTTGATTTCGCCAAGGCTGGGGAACAGAATCGTGCTCATAAAAACTGTTTACTAAATTTAGAAAATATTCTTTACTTTTATCAGAAGTATGTTTTAAAAAAGAGTAAGGGATTCCATCCATTCCAGGAGAGGAATCCCTTAAACCGTCCAGTGCCAGTTGAAGCTCAGGAAATGAAAAAACGTGGTCAAAACTATTTAGAGGTGATATACGGGGTGACAACGAAGGAAAACAATCTAAGTTTGGGACGGAAGGAGGAGCCAGCTTATCAGAAAAAGCTTCAAGCCAGGATGAGGGATCATTGGCCGAAATATCAGTGGAATTACAAGATCCTCTAAACCGTTTAATTTACTTCCAAACCAAAGTAGAAGGAGTCCTTGGTGAAAGATTCTCACAAAATCGAACCCAACGTTCTTTCTTTTTTTTTTGTAAAAATTCTTCTCGCATGTGAGAAAAATTCGGAAAATTTTGGTCAGCACTTGAGATAATGGCATTAACAAAATAAGAGTAACAATCTATGTGATTGTTAGAAACAGGAAAAGGTAGATCAGCTAAATTATTTTCAAGGCAAGATGTAAATAAGATGTAAGTAAATAAATGATCACTGCCATAAGAGACTACCAAAATATTCCAGGACATGGCAGCGGCCAAAGATGCCGAACATATTGTAAGATCGACAGCCGATTTAGGGTTTTGAGAGGGTAAGACTCTTCTAGTAGGAGAGCCATCATTAATAATACAAAGATTTGAGTCATCCAAAATTTCTAAGAGAGAGAGACCAAAGGCATCATCATGGCTAGAGCCCCAACATGAGTGATGAGCATTGAAGTCACCCATTAAAATAATTGGAGAAGGAACCGAAGAGATAATTAATAAAATATCAGGAATTAAACTAGAGTGAGGGTGAGGAATGTAGGCAGAGAGAAAAGTGATGTTAAGAGCCCTTACAGCTATAATATTAATGTTCGGGGATATAGGGGGGAGAGGGATTTGCTTAAACAAAAGGCAACGCTTAATAAATAAGGCGCTGCCTGCATATCCATCGTCTCTGTCACTCCGAAGGCACGAGTACCCCGAAACCCGAAATCGGGAACCAGGCACCAGCCATGTCTCCGAAATGGCGATAACTGATGGATTAAAAGAATTAATTAGATTGAGAACCTCATGTTTCTTAGGACGAAGACTCTTCGCATTCCATTGAAGAACTACTGCCATAATTAGAAGCAAGGGAAAGGATATGAGTGAGTTTCTGGGCAACGTTGGGCGGTAAAGAAGATTTTTTATTTGATATTAAATTGACAATTACAGATAGCAACAGCTCTAATAGACCTTCATCTTGGGTAGGCGAAGCTTCTGTTTGAGAACATTGAAGAGAGTATCCGTTTGGAAAAGACGACGATTCTTCAGAAATGAGGGCTTGATGAGCCGCCTTGTCGAATGATTTTCCTAAAGGAGCCGTAGGACGCGGGAAAGAAATAACAGTTTTTTTATATGATATTAGTAGGGATTGGAGGAGAACGCTGCTGGGAAGACGACAAACTTGAAGAGAGCGGGAAGGAAGGCGAGGACTGTCCAAGGACTCTGGAGTATAATTTGCCAACTTGAGGAAACTGCCTAGCCGCTTCCTCATAATTTAAATTTTCTTGAGCCATTAAGGATTTTATGCTTTTCTGCCTCCCCTGCTCTGGGCAAGCACCACTGATAGCAAAATGATTACCAAGACAGTGAAGACAGGAAGCTTCAGCCTCGGCTACGTTACAAGTCTCCCCAGAGTGGGGTTGAGTACACCGGAAGCAACGTGGCTTTGATCGACACTGTAATTTCGTGTGTCCAAATCGACAGCAAAGGAAGCACTGGATAGTTGGGAAATTATACATCTCAACGGGTAGGGACGAGTGATAGCTAAAGATTCTTTGTGGGAGGATTTTTCCGCGGAAGGTTAAGACCACAGACTGAGTAGGGATCCATACAGTCTTCCCGTCCTCAATAGTTTTTCTATTCAGTCTTCTCGCTTTTAGGATTTCGCCACATCCATCAGCAACATCTACGGAGTGGACAAAATCTGTCATCGACCAATCTGTAGGAATTTGACGAACTACCCCCATTTTGGTGATATTGTAGGTAGGTATCGAAGCAGTGTATTTGTTAGTATTCAAAATAGGGTTGTCTAGAATTTTTTTTGCATCTTCAGCTGACAGAAATTCAACTGAGATTTTGTTTCTGCCTACTTTTTTTACCCCATCTGTTGCGATTTTCGAAATTTTGTTAAAACATAAGAATTGACCAAATTTTAGAGGGCGAATAGAGGTGCCGGAGGAAAGATCTGGTTCTATCCGCGATACGTGCACTATAAACGGGGCTTTATCTGAAGGTTCGTACATTTTAACGCCTATCACAATACTCGGGTGAATATATACATTTTCTATGGACGGAATGACCATGTTGTTTTCTGTAATATTTCTTTTTGGATCCCCATGACAGATAGCATCCTCAGAGGCAAGGCGACGCTTACCATGAGAAGCCATCTGAGGAACCGCTCAACCTAAACCTCCAGGGTCCGGGGGATCCGGAGGAATAGGGGGAGACGGCTCCACAATGAGGGACATACCTGTCTTAGTTATTTAAAGGATAAATCCTTTATAAATATTTAAACAAATAAACAAAGATAATAATCTATTTAAACTAAATAATACAAATTACTTACTGAAAATTCTACACATAAATAACAATAAGACTGCCTGTTGATTAAAAGAAAACAATTATATAGGAACAGAAAAATAAGGTTAGGATCCGAGTGACAGCTCCTCTCCCGCCCGTTTTAAAGGTCTATTTATGTTTTAAAATATCAACATTTACGTCAGTATAATCTAGTGTTTCTTTTTGAAATTTAACGCAATAACTTCTAACTTTTAAGACTTTTAAAATACCTAATGCATTACTTTCTAAGTACACCGCAAAACCAAACTAAAATACACTATTTATTTGCTCATACCAATTTTCGTAAATCATAGGCGTTTCAAACAGTCACAATGTTATATTATGTCATCAATATAATAACTTATTAAATAATTATATTACTTACATGTCCTTTTTTATGCTGGAACTATAATAAAAACAAAACTTCACACTCTTCTAACTTACGAATTGTTTTAAACTGCAGTTACAAGGTGCTGCACTAATATTTTTGAATTGTCATTTAGAAGGTACTAGATTGTACTGCTTTACCGACCAAGCGTGCTTGCAACCGTTTATCGTTTCATCACTAGATGGTGGGATACTTAATTTAATCATTTTGATGAAAAAAATGTTTTCACCAAAACATGTAGTTAAAAGGTCCTGCACTGATGCCGACGATATGTGATTGTCTCGCTCTGCATTATATCGAGGGCTCCTGCTACAGGTACAGCACAGATGAGATATTCTTTTATGTATTCAAATTCATTTTCTTTGATTACGTTTTTAATGTTCAAAAATCTATGAAGAAGTAAGCTTTTTTCTTTAATGCTCTGTATTTGCTTCAGAGAGTCAAATAAGCTGTTACATCTAGTTTCGCCAGGCCGGCTTAATGTGTGTTGCAATACATCTTGAATGATTGCCACACTTTTTGGACGTGCTGCAGCCTTCCATAGAACATTGCATTTCTTCATGACTGCAGCATGCATATCCGACAATGTAGTATTCTGAGCGCTTAAAATTTTATTTGCGTCTGTTGTTGAACAAAGGCTCAATGTGTGTGCACAGCATCTCAAATGCACAGGTAGCAAATGCAAACTTTCGGGATTCATTAGCTCAGTCTCTTCATCATCTGACTCAGAGTTATCTTCAAGAGACTGAGAACCTTGAAATTGTTTATCTATGTCCACAAGTTCAATGTTGGATAATTTCACACCAAATATTTGAAATGCTTTTACAAAAGTGCTGCCGTTGTCGATCACTGATACAACAATTTTGTTTGAATTTAGATTGTACGAGGGCGGGTCAATAAGTCCGTGACTTTTGGAATAAAACAGATTTTTTGATAAATAAATCATTTTATTTTTCAACGTAGTCTCCCTTGAGCTCTATACACTTTGTCCAACGCTTCTCCAATTTTTTTATCCCTTCCAAAAAATATGATTTGTCGAGGTCCTCAAAATAGGCCTTTGTTTGCGAGATGACTTTATCATTGGAGTCAAATCTTTTGCCACCAAGCCATTTCTTCAGGTTTGGGAACAAGAAGTAGTCACTCGGAGCCAAATCTGGAGAATAAGGCGGATGAGGGAGCAATTCATAGCCCAATTCATGGATTTTTGCCATGGCAACTGCACATGTGTGCACCCTTGCATTGTCTTGGTGGAAAAGAACTTTTTTCTTTGCCAAATGAGGTCGGTTTTTTTTTCAAATCGTCATTGAATCGGTCCAATAACTTGGCATAATATTCCCCATTGATTGTTCTTCCCTTTTGAAGATAGTCAATGTGGATTATCCCGCGTGCATCCCAAAAGACAGTCGCCATAACTGTATTGGCTGACAAACCCACCTTGACCTTCTTAGGTGCCGATTCACCCTTAGAAACCCACTGCTTTGACTGTTGTTTGGTCTCTGGTGTGTTGTGATGGATCCATGTTTCGTCCACGGTTACAAAACGGCGCAAAAACTCCTCCATATTGCGATTAAACAACGCCAAACCTTCCTGTGAAGTTGTTACACGATTGCGTTTGTGGTCGACTGTGAGCAATCACGGCACCCATCTTGCGGAAAGCTTGCTCATGCCCAAGTGATCATTCAAAATTGAAACTACTGAGCCATGCAAAATCCCTACGGCTTCCACAATCTCTTGCACTTTCAATCTTCGGTCGGCCAACACCATATCGTGAATTTTTTCGATTGTTTCGGGTGAAGAGACCTCAACTGGGCGTCCAGGACGTTCGGCATCTTCACGAAATTCAGTAAACCACTTTTTTACCATTGAAATCGATGGTGCAGAGTCCCCATAGTATTTATCAAGCTTAGCCTTGGTCTCGGTAATGTTTTTTTTTCGCAAAAAATAATGCTTAATAAGCACACGAAATTCACTTTTTTCCATTTTTTCCTCAAATTACTGGGTAGTCCGATAAAGATAGCTGTCAAACACAAACTAACTGACGCAGCAAGTTCAAATTTTGACAGGAGTCAACTGACAGATGCCTGTTGACAGGAGTAGTGTTGCTTTTTCAGTAAAGAGGTCAGAAATTCAAAAAGTCACGGACTTATTGACCCGCCCTCGTATTCTGCATTTATTTCTTGTGTGATATCCGATAAACGATGGTAGCTATGGATGCCTTTAAATCTTTGACAGGCATCTGAAGCTCTGCGCAAGTCATCTTTGATCCAGTGCACTGTCACGCCAATAAAACTTCTGTTCTTACTAGACCAAATGTCCAATGCTGTGCATACGTACTCCACTTCACTTAGTTCAGATTTAATTGTCGTCACTTGTTTTTCGTAGTAATTTGCTATGCGTCGCCCTAGGGTACGTAGACTCATAAGTGTGATGTCCATTTCAGATATTTCTAAATCCGTAAAAATCTTTAAAAAGTATGGGCCTTCTATTGCACGTAATGGAATCATAGAATGGATGAAATATTTCAAAATATTTTCGTCGAACTGATCTTGGTTTGACTTATTTTATCAGATTTCTTTATTATGCTTACTTTGATTTTGGCAATATTTTCGGTTTTTTCTTTTTAATTTTCCCTCTTTTTCTTAACGTATGTTTTGTACTCCTCGATGCATTGTTGTCCATGTTTTCTTTTCAAGTGGCTTAGGAAATTAGATGTACAATTGTTACACCCTTTAACTTTTGTCATCATATCTTTAGGGCATTTCATGCACAGAGCCGTGATTTTATTGCCCGATGATTCTTCAGGCAAGTGCTTAAAATATGTACCGTCAAGTAAAATAAGCCGCAATTGACGCGATGACTCAGAGGCGGCGGCGGCGATATCGGCAGTGCTGCTTGATGACAAGGGAGATAAAGGTTCATGCGTCTCATTATTGTCCGAAACACTCGCACTTACAGATATATTACTGTCATCCTCAATGTCATCCATCATTATGCTTTACACTTGACACAGGTCACACACACACACACACACACACACACACACACACACACACACACACACACACACACACACACACACACACACACACACACACAATTCCTAAAATATGGTTGGTTTCCGTTTTGGTACAGTAAAGCGAACTAGTTTTACTTAGTATAGTGAGCGACATAGACACGACTACTTTGCATTTTACGCTGCAGGCGACTGATGTTTGCAAATGGTGACTGGCCGCAAGCGACGACGTGACGCAAGACAGACAGAAACAGAACTTACGTAGATGGCCTTAAGTCTGAGCGAGAGCTTACAACTGTCAAACGATGTTAACTTTTCGTTTACCTGCGCCCGTGCGAAATAGTTTGCATTAAAAAAACACAGAAACGGACGAAAACTTTCGCGGCAAAACAAGAAAGATCATTTTTATTGTCTGCACCTACAGGTTCAGTGCAGAGAAGCATGATTATTTATTGTTAGTTTTAATTGTTTCTTACAACAATTAGAAATATTACTTGCATTATTTTAATTATATCTTGCAATTAACATAACTGAATTTAAATAAATTTATTGCAATATGCAACTAACAGATAAATGCAATTAAATTAATAGTGATTAAATTAATTGCAATTAATTTTTCAATCAATTACTACGATGATGACACAGGTATAAACCATATACATACCAGTCCAACACTTTGGCCAGCTTTGTTTAAAGTTCTCTCTTGAGAATTGCACAGGTAGTTCAAAACTTATTCATCGAATGTTGATGATGTCGTGATGTTCGAAGGACCGATTCACTAATTTATCTAAAGGTTGGAGTTAGTGTGTGGTGTTCGAACGTAGAAAGTATGTATAGCACTATATTATTTTTATCTGCTTCTTCCAGAGCCTCATATGATAAATAACACTTTGCACCATCAAAGATAAGCAGACACTTACCTGATACTTTATGTTGTGCTTAATCCCCTTAAAAATAATCATGGGCGGTATAGCAATGCCCACAGCATTTACGCACATCGCTATTGTAACGTTCTCGGCGTGTTCCGGAGCAACAAGATCATCAGATCAAAAACAATCATCAATATAGAAAAATAAAATTTAAAACATTTATGTTGTTGAAAGCGTTTATTACAAAGCATATAAAATACATAGAAAAATTAAAATATTTATTATAATTTTTATTATTTACCATCGGTATCATCGCAAGCTGAATAATGATCATCTGATTCTAATAATTCTTCTCCATGTCCATTGTCCATGATTTGTGCGATGTCATAAATTTTTAAGGGTGTTTTTGGTCCCCAACAAATACAATTGATTATAAATGATCATCGTCTAAAAGTCATCCACCGTTTTTAGGGCGCAATTTTAAGCAATCTTGATCAGTCGCATGAAGCCCCATAGAATTGACATAAATCGTTCGTAAACTTTTTTGGGTTAAGTAAGACCAGCATGGTGGCAAATTGTTGGAGTCATAACTTTTCCAAAAAGTGCTCATTATCTTCTTTTGCGGAATAAATTTTCATAAAAATGCAATGGCGTTATTCACACTAGTGCAATTTTTTATAGGGGAAGGCCGGGCAAAGTGAATACCTTGAGGTATTTAAGGTTATAGCAGAAAAAGTATACAATACAAAAACAAAATAATTATCACAAACCAGTCTTTATTTATTGCTCTTACAAATACGAACATCAGTTACCATTAATATTTAAACAATAATCAACTGCAATTAAAATTTAAAAAAGTACGAAAGTATTCGCTTTGCCCGGTACCCCGGATATAGTACTTGGGCAAAGTGAATACCCATATTCAATCTCTGAAAAAATAGAAATAACTTCGATAAACTGAAAAAAAAACTACTGTTGACAAATGTCACATTAAATCCAATTTTCAATTGGTTTACCGTCTTCTACTATATATATTTCACCGCAAAAGCATAAAATATCCTTAAATTCTTTTATTTTCTTTGGCTGTTTAACCTTTTTAGCAGTTTTTTTGACTTTGTCAGTCTTTGTATTAGTCTTCTTAGGAACATTTTTTGACTTATCATTCAGTCTTTTAGTAACATTCTTAACTTTATTTATCTCATATTTCTTTTGATCTTCTTTGATCGGTACTGGTTAATATTACCGATTTTTGTAATTTCCGTTTACGCGTGGTCATTGGTTTGGCGGGATTTGGAATAGGTCTTAATACCAAGGGACTGCAGTGGGAGGCTGAACATCCCGGTTTTGGATCAGGTGAGTTGTCACGGCTAGTATATTGACGAATATTTACTTCCGTCTCTGGCATCACTGTGTCACCTCTCTGAGCAGCTATATCTGGCCCAAAAGCGGAGACAATTCGGGAACATAAAGGTTCTGGTTCAGGTGTACATCCGTCGCTACGAATCTTTTCAGGCGTGTTAACAATCGTCGCAACAAAGTCTTGAAACTCACAAGAGGGAGTTCTGTTTCGAGGTGGAAATATTTCCGATAGATAATCTACTGAATTTGATGGAATCTGTTCCTCCTTTCAAAGTAAGTTTTCAGTGGGCCGTAAACCGCTACATCCATGGGCTGCATTTTATGAGTTGTGTGTGGGGCCAAGGATAAAATTACGACATTGTTCTTGCTGGCGTAATCTAAAGCTAGGTAATACTTATGGCTCTCATGGTTATCCAATAATAGAAGTATTTTTTTCTCAGGGGTAGGTCGAATATGTTCCACAAAAAAATGCATCCAATCAAAGAACACCTCACCTGAAGTCCAACCATTTGGAGTACAGGTTCCTTGAGTACCGGGAGGCGCACCATCAAGTAGTCTGGGTTGCATCTTTTTTCTGGCGAAAATTAAGAATGGTGGGAGAAATGAACCAGCGGCATTACAACAACCTAAATCAAAATCATTTATTATTTGCATAAAACAGGTATAAAGGTGGTAGAAGAACATCATATAATACATGGGTACGCTGTGATATAACCTCTTAAAGGTGTGCAAATATTTAGTCATAGATAGTTAATTGACCACATTCTGCACTGGCGATTATGCCCACTTGATTCTTTCCTTTCGTTGATAGCACTTTAGGCGGCTTATTTGTGGTTGTAGATATAACAGTTTCATCCATGTTATATAATCTAGATGCATCAATATCATATTTTACTGTTAAAGCTTCATAAAAACGTCCAACTTCATGTCTGTTAAATCCTTTTGCCCTTGCAACCGATGATGCCTCTCGGAGTCCTGAGGGATATTTGATCGTGACGAGACTAAAATGAAAATAGCCAATCATCTCAAGCTTTTTCGTACTTGTCCCAGTTATTCGGGTAGTTCAAATTATTTTTCTTGGCGTAGATGAACGCTAAATTATTGAATTCATCTCGAGTCAGGCCAAAAATACAGAATCCGTATCTTTGAGATATGTCACCAACTCTGTTTCCTGATCTTCAGTGAAAACAGGACGGAATCGACCAAGTTTTGAAGCAGCGATGCCGGTTTTTACAAGCCTATATAAGGTTGCATAAGCTAAACCATACTTTTTAGCTGTGCTTTTTATTGATTCTCCAGCTTTGCATAAATTAAAAGCCGTTTGCATAGCATTTTCATCCCACGTCCTTTAGATTAGTTTTTTTTTATATTTATTCACCATCTGAAACAAATAAAAGACATTTTTAGATAATAAGTCACCAATGAGAAATGGCGGGTAAACTGGATACCATATCCACTTTGCCCTATTCACTTTGCCCGACTAGGTAAGTTTTGAGTTTAACACATTTCATACAAAAACTTATAATTCTGACTTTCTGTTAAATATACCATAAAAACCTACTTTGATATGCTACCGAATTAAGACATTCCTAAAAATCAAGAACTAGTAATACAGGCGAATTGATCAATGTACTTACCGCGTAAAATCAATCTTTTATTTACGAAAACACAAATCTCCACTCCGCGGACGGGATGCGACGCGGCCCCTCTCTTCGATGTTTGCCACGTACTAAACCAAGATGGCTGAACGTAACAGTGGTGGTGTTTTGAACAAATAATTTAGGAGTAGTGGGGAGTATTCGCTTTGCCCGGCCTTCCCCTACCATACATATGAGCGGCAAACTGCCGAACGGCCTACATTTTTTCATTTACGAAAATATCAGCTTCATCTGGTAATGACGCAAATATGTTTTGGTATGATTCATTTTTGGAGAACAGTTTAAATGGCCGAAGTTTACCTTTCTGATAAAATGCCGCTCTGTAATCACAACCAGTATACGCATGGAATGCTGGTAGTCTTCGGCACAGTGTGGTTCTAAATTTTTTGGCCAATTCCGTGCAATTAATGCAATCGAGGTCTTTTAATTTTTTTTTTATTTGTTGTACTTGCTATCCAAACTTCTGATTTTTCCAATTTATGTATGTTACCAAGCAAAATAATCATTACGTCGGTATCAGAGGATTAAGTTAAAGTCTTTGATCCCGATGGACGCATGAAAAATTATACTAGTATCTCTTCATGATCACATATTCAACTTAATTTTTTAAAGTCAATATTGTAGGCAGGGTAACGTTAAATTATGCCGCTAATTCCTGGGAAGTCTGACTCGGATCGGCTTTCACCATCTCCTTCAATTCAGCGGTATTTATGAGTGTGGGCGGTCTTCCACGTGGTTCGTTCTCTAAGTCGAAGTTTCCATTACGAAAGCGTTTAAACAAAAAACGCACTGTGCGTTCATTGGCAGTCTCCTCTCCAAATGCAGCGTTGAAATTGCGAGCCGTTTATATCGGGTTAGTTCCGCGTCGCAATTCGTATTCAAAAACTACTCGGATTTTCGAAGTATCCATCTTTCACGTCTAAGCTGAATAAAAAAAAACTATTGAAAGTCGAAAATCGATTGTTGCACATTTTTTTAAAAGAATAACCTCACAGGGATTCTGTAAAAAAAATTTCAAACCATGAAGGATTTATGTCAATTCAAAGTATCCATTTCTATACAACGGCAATTGCGTCCAACGGACAGAAAA